TTTTTAGTGACTTTCCATAAAGAATAGTTGGTTTCTGCTGTTGCATTCAGGTTCCTTAAGGAGGTTTGGATATTTTCATTATTGTTATTCTGCAATAGTGTTTTTAGTTTTCCTTGTAGATAGTTCAGATGTTTTTTGTCAGCAGGATAACCTGTTTTTTGCCATTTTTTTCGAGCCTCTCGTTTTTCAGTTAGTAGTTCTCGAACAGATAAGGGGCATTCTTGTTTGTGCGGTAAGTCTTTAGGAACTGGAGTAGCAAGCCAAGCAGATTGTTGAACAGAGCTATTAAAATGTTCTACTGCTTCTGTTATGTCGTTGTCCGTTATTAGGGCAATTTTTATATTCAAGCTTTCCACCAGTAGCTGTCTAAAGAGGTTCCAGTTAGTTTTATTGGTATGCAGCTTGCATGGCTTAGGTGACACTATGATTTTCTTTTTTAATGCTATTTCAACAGGGGAGTGATCAGATGATAATTCGGTACTCGTTCTGCTTGTAAAAAATTTACTAGAAATTCCTTTTGTTATACAAAAGTCGAGCAAGTCTGGTAATTTATTCCTGTCTGTAGGCCAGTAGGTGGGTTCTCCAGATGAAACAACGTTAAGATTTAGCTTTTCTATGGCCATTAGCAGCTGTCTACCTTTCGCAGTTATGACACGTGAGCCCCAGTAATGATGCTTGGCATTGTAGTCTCCTCCAGCTATAAATCTATGTCCCAGTGTGGTAAAGAACGTTTCATAATCATTTAGCTTAAGTTTATGTTTAGGTGGGCTGTAAACAGCGGATACTGTGAATGGGCTTGTCCAATCTTCAATAACGATATTTGTTGCTTGAATCTCCTCCGTGCAATAATGAACTGCTTCATGATGTTTTATATTAGATTTTATTAGTACCGCGCTTCCAGCATGTGCTCTGCCATCGGGGTGCATCGTGTGATATGTTTTGTAGTTGTGAATGTTAAAATGACTCTTTTTAGTAAAGTGTGTCTCTGTTACTAGAAGAATATCAATTTTCTGTGTGTCTAGGTATGTTCCAACCTCAAGGGTATGTTGTGACAGCCCATTGGCATTCCACACGGCAATTTTTAAGCAATCGAATCTGACAGCTTGGTTGTGAGGGCTATTATTAAGTTTGTCAGGGTAGTCAATTGTTGCATCATTTGTTTCATCAATGTCATTATTTCATGCATGTTGTGTTGGTCGACATGTTTTGTCTCGTTTGTTGTATTTTCGAGTTGATTCTTGTTGGTAAGTACGTCTTTATAAGTTTGATATTCGCTGTTGCGAACTTGTTTATCCGTGGTTTTTTCCCTTTCTATCGTAACACTCTGTTTATTAGATATATAGGTTTTTCTGCGTTCTGGTGCCTTTGGGAACTTAAGATTTTGGAGGTCTCTATATATTTGACAGCCCTTATAATTTGCCGGGTGGTTACCATCACAGAGAACACATTTTACACAGTCTGATTTTGTTTTCCTTATGCAATCGGCAGAGAGATGGTCGCCAGCACATTTGATGCATTTAGGTCTACGGTGGCAGGAATTTATTTTTAAATATGTAATTATAAAAAAGACCTTTAAAAATATAAAAAGCAGTAGCCCTTTACTGGTAAAGGGAGAAAACCAAGCTATCGGCAGTCAGGGCTACAAAGAGAGGAAATTTCCTGACAATACGCGCCGTGTCTAGAAGTACTGCTTTCTGCATCAGGCCCTTGATCCCACCATCTAACGCTAGCCTACTCAGGTGTTGGTCGACGCTTTTAGCAATGAGGCCATTGGTAGATACGACTTTCGGCACAATGATCGCTGAGTCTACATGCCACATGTCGACAACCACATGAGCTAAATCTATCTATATCTCTAGATATTTACTTGCTTTTTATGGGATAATCCGGTTCACCTGATGATAAGCAATCGGCGTCGCCCATGGACACATGGAACCCCTGAGGTGTTACCAGTGCCTTTTAGGGATTAGGAGTTTGAGGATTGTTGGGGATTGAGGAGAATGCGGAAGAGGGGGGAAGACCCAAAGCCTTACCTTTATATTTTTCAGCTCTGACGAGATTCTCGACATGCAAAAATGTATCTACCGTTATATTCACTAACAGGTATAGCTCCAAAGTCATATACGTCAGATATTAAGGGGACAACCCAAAAAAAAATTAAACGAATAATGTCTCACCTTCAACTGCGGTTCAGCCAGGACATTCAAATCCTTGATCAAGTGACAACCTCCTAAAAAGAAACGCCTGCTCTCAGCTTCAACTGCATCCAACTCCTCAGGCCTGATGCAGGCGAGATCTTTAGAGTAGCACCCAGGATCTAGTGTAAGCGGTAGGTAGCAGTAACCTTCAGTGCGGTGACGACCCCACCAATCTGATGAAATGGCTTCTAGGAATACCTTGATAGGTGCTGATTCTGTAAATGAGATTGTGAATATTTTTATTTATGTAGACGACCAAAGTAAATATGGACAGATTGTAAAAAGAATGATGTGAAAGAGAAAGGAATACTCATAGGTTAACACATATTATATAAAGCTAAAGATTAAGTTAATTAGTTTGTCACTAACTAGTAAGTTTATTTGTTAGTCGGTAAGTTTGTGTGTTGGTTAGTTTGTTTGATAGTTAGTTTGTAGCGTCAGGGTGCAGGGTCCGACATTATTTGAAAATAAAACAAAAGGCTTCATACAATCACTTAGTTTATTTCGATTAAATAAACTTACTTTCACATTAATTTTTAATTATAATAATTGAATAATTCAGCGCTGATTATATAAAGGAAACACTCAAATAAAACCAACAATAAATTGACGAATGACTAACTCGACCGAGCTTGCGCTTGCGCTGCTTTATATATCACTCGGTGGTGGGGTTGAAGTGACGTCGGTCAGTTGTTTGTTCACTGCTTGCCCATAATTACATTCGCAGTTTACAAAATAATGACGACGGCGCCGTCAAACACATATTATATAAAGCTAAAGATTAAGTTAATTAGTTTGTCACTAACTAGTAAGTTTATTTGTTAGTCGGTAAGTTTGTGTGTTGGTTAGTTTGTTTGTTCGTTAGTTTGTTTGTTTGTTTGTTTATCGATTAGTTCGTTTGTGTGTTGGTTACCTAGTTAGTTTTGTTTGTTGTTGGTTAGTTTGTTTTTTGTTTAATCTGTTTGTTTGTTTGTTGGTTCGTTTTTGGTTGATTTGTATGTTAGTTAGTTAGTTTGTTTATTAGTTACTTTGTTTGTTTGTTGGTTAGTTTGTTTATTTATTTATTGTTTGTTAGTTTGTTTGTTCGTTAGTTTGTTTGTTTGTTTGTTTATCGCTTAGTTCGTTTGTGTGTTGGTTACCTAGTCAGTTTTATTTGTTGTTGATTAGTTTGTTTTTTGTTGATTTGTATGTTAGTTAGTTTGTTCGTTTGTTAGTTTGTTAGTTTGTTTGTTTGTTGGTTAGTTTGTTTATTTATTTATTGTTTGTTAGTTTGTTTGTTTCTTTGTTGGTAAGTTTGTTTTTTGTTGATTTAGAATAGAATAGAATAGAATAATTTATTTGCATTGAATGTAGGTACATAATATTTGTATGTTAGTTAGTTTGTTGATTAGTTTGTTTTTATTTATTGTTTGTTAGTTCGTTTGTTTTTTGTCTGACGTCTGTAAGAGAAGCAAATTTATTTAGCGGATAGGTATTTTACAGAATTGTGGCAGGCACATGATGCAAATAAAATTGTCGTGAAATGGGGATGATGACAAGGAATAAAAATTAAAAAAATAATTAGTCATTAATAATTAGTCCCTAAGTCCGTAAGGTAATGAAAAAACATTAGACCCGTATTTTTTATTTTGTCGTATATTAAAACAATACTTAGGTATATAAAACGAATCAAAGTTTAGGAGGGAGGCTAAAAAGTCAAATCTACGTATAAAATGTACATAGAAGTAACGTCACGCGACATTTCAAATCAATATATCGTCGGAAGTATTCTGTAAGAAAATAAAAAATACGTGTCCAATGATTTCAAATAATCTACCAGACGGACATTAAAATAAAATTTTGGCATCTTCCCTATTGTAAGGAAGAAGAATGGTAAAGAGAACGGCCTCAAAGCCTCAGCGTCAGCCTCAGTTCAAATCACCTATTAGAAAATTAATAAAATTGTTTTAATTTGTGCCTATTAATTAAAAAAAAGTCTAGTTTTCTTGTCAAACATCTTAACCAAGAGCTCACCTGTGCCAGTATTCATTTCTAAACAAAACTCGATGATATGCCCGTAGCTCCACTCTCTATCTCCTTCCACTACATCTCCCTCACTTGTATGAGTCCTTCCATGAAGAGAGTCAGGGCACTGTATATCTTCAGGTACCTATAATGTGATCAGATATTTCAAAGTATGAGTAATGTAAGTCATATTTTTTTAATGATTTTTTTTTATGGCATAATCCGGTAAACGAGCTGACGGATCACCTGATGGTAAGCAAACGGTGTCGTCAACGGACACCTGGAACATCAAAAGCATTACAAGTGCGTTACCGGCCTTTTGGGGATTAGGAGTTTAAGGATCATTGGGGATTCAGGAATTGGAGAGAGTGGGGAAGGGGAGGGTAATTGAGCCTCCGCTAACCTCACTCTCACGACGAAACACAACGCAAGCGTTACTTCACGTCGGTTTTCTGTGAGGCCGTGCTATCGGTCGAGCCGGCCCATTCGTGCCGAAGCATGGCTCTCCCACACTTGTATTTTTATTTATGTATATTTATTTATATGTATTTTATTTATTTATTTACAATGTATAAGTATTTATGTATATTTATTTATTTACAGTTTAAATATTTTCAAATTTCCGACAGAAATGGTTTCTGCTTTAATTTTTCATCTAATTTATAAGTAAGATAATATAAAAGTTCCTACCTTGATATCAAACTCAATATACAGGTTATCCATATCAAAATGTGCTGCAGTTAAAATCTCTAGTGTTACAAAGAACTGCTTCTTGCCGGGAGGTGGCATTACAAAGTTTAACAAATGCTTTTGTTTCCGCTCCCATTTTTTGTAGAGTTTTGTTAGCTGAAATAAATATGCAAAAGTCCATAAGTATTAATAAATTGGTCTACATACAAACAATATAACGTCATAGATATTTTAAGAACAAGCTAAGCATGAAAGACATTTTCAGATAAATAGTGAAAAAACGTGGATCATTTGTGAAGCAAAAGCCATGGTGGATCATTAATGGTACTCATTCTACAATTTCAAGTTCAACTAAATATTAAGAAAATTAAGCTATCCTTAAACTGTCAAACACCAAGCGGTCACCGGTGACCTCAACCTATTGTTCTATAATTGTGTCTAAAATGACGGTACTCGACGAGTTAATAAATATTAATTGCCATACCAATGTCACTAACTCCTCAGCATCATCATCTTCAAATTCAATTTCAATGCTGTACTGGTACCCCCATGGCACACCGGCTGACGTTTCCACTATGTACGGGTTCAGGTCGAGGTTGTTCACATCTGGCATCATCACCAGGTAGTTGTGTATATTGTTGTGATAGATAGAAATGAGAGATACTTCTTGCTTGAATATTAATTGGGAGTCTCTGAAAGTTGAAAAAATAAAAACAAAATAAGATTAAACTGTCAAACACTGAGCGGACACCTGTGACCGCAACCTATTGTTCTTTAATTGTGTCTATAATAACGGTACTCAACGAGTTAATATGAAAGACTATTATTTTTAAGCTGTTTGCTCTGATACCATTTTAAGTTTGAATTATAGGTATAAGCTATGCATTAGTGAGTTAGAGAGTATTTTGGAATTTTCAATTATTATATGGAAATGTGGACATATGGATATATTTTGAAAAGACTTTATTAATAAGAATTTAAATTAAATATATACAACTTAAAATATATATAACTATAAACTAAAATAATTATACCTTAAAAATTAAATACCTATTTGAAATAATATGCTATTTCATCAATATGAACCAATACAAAAGTATCAAATTAAAACATAAAATATATTATTTTTGTGAAGCAAAATATTTATTATTCCATTTGATTTCCTATAGTTAAGAACAATAGCTTCACACTACTTACTCATTATAATCAGAATTATCAAACACAATATGCATAGCCGTCCATTCCTTCTCTTCTAAAGCAACATTTTCTTCACTTCTAAACAGGCCAGTGGCAGAAATTGTGTCACAACCAAATACTTTATCTAAACCATCATTTAAATTCAACTTCTCCATACACTGCTCTAAATTGAGCAGACCATTGTTTCTTTTTTTTAAATCAACAGGCAAAGGTAGGTAAGAATCATCATGGATGTAACTGAATATCTTTGCAGGTTTGTACTGTACATTTTCCAAAACTTCATGGTAATTTAATTCTGTTTCTGTGATACAGTTGTGCACGTCTGTGTACCGTTGGATTTCCCACAAACTGAATACTTTTTCTTGCCATTTGAATGAATGTTCTTCTGCAGTGTTCTCTAGTTTTAAAATGTTACTTCCTTTCGTGCAGTCTTCGAACTTTGGTAAAGTTAAAATGCCATCTTGAGGTTTTAGTTTTATTCTGAAAAATATTAAAATATCATTACAAAAATATTTGTTATTGAAAGTCTAATTTGGGTCGCAAAGTCGTTATTTAAATTAGTATTCTGCAAAATTTGTTAATATTTACTTTATTTGTAAATCTCTCACATCTTTCTTTAACCAGTAAACGCCTGCAACTTTGTTACAACGATTAAAATCCTGCATTTATCAAGTTACTTTTTTGTAATCGGTTTCTTTGTTTACTATTATTTTTCGAACCAATAAAACCATTGCCATGGCAACCGGTGACATATGAAGAGGTCACGACCGCGTTCAACGTCGGCGTTTTCAAGCCTCCGTTCATAAACATTGAAAATACTATAGATACATTTGTGCGTTTCGTCTAATTAATTTTTATTTAGGAGTCATAATATTTATGCCGATTTTTTCATTTTGAATAAGAAATTATTATTTAATTATTAATTATTTAAAATGGTTTATCGATACTGTAGTGTTGCCATCACACAATAAATAATTCATCCACTCATTCAATCAATGTCAATGTCAAAACTGTCAGCGTGCTAGTCGTTCATTCATTGTTTGCGTTCTATTTCAGGTCAGTCGCTAACGGTATCCTTGTGCTGGTTGTCGTCTTTATTTGCGTTAAATAAACACGAATACAATAAAGATTATCGCGAAATATCTATCTTTTCCTACAATCGCTATCTTATCAGGCATTGTAAAGGATAAATCGATCATGCTCAATCTCCAGTGTGCCTTATTTATGTCTGTGTTATGATGTGCTACTTAGCTTAATTATTTTACATTTATCGTTATTTACTGTTGATTTTTTGAGTGAAAATGCCTTCCAGACAGAGAGAAACTACGGTTTCCATGCCGCTGACACCATCGCGGTCCGATTTGTATTGGCGCAGAATTTTTGAAAAGGTAAAGTACCTTCATATTAATATCATACACAATAGCAACTAACGCAAACAGGTGCAAAACCAGTTACTGTTGTATTGACTATTTACATTTATATGTTATCGTTAGCAAATTTTTGTTAGTGACTATAATATTATGTAGCTTTAAATTATCATAAAAACTAAGATCAGCTTAAGACATTTATTTCATGATTAACATGATGCAGACTTACGCAACATGTTGTTATGCCGGTTCTTATTAATTTTAAGTGTTTATCCTTTGCTATTGCATAATAAAATTACTTGCCTCATAGAAAAACTGATTTGTAGACAATTTAAAATAATTGTTTGAAGAGGCTGATGAGTAATATCAGTGCCTGTTTATTTTTGTTGTTTGCTATAAAAACAACATTAGCATAATATTTGTCTATGACACTGGTGATTACTGTGTTGTACCTCTGCAGAGGTCAGATGATATTTAGCGTCTTTTGTCATGTACTCAGCTTCACAGGAGCTGATGTAAGAGAATTAGTGTTTATTAGCTCCTGATTGTGGCATTTCACCAGTAACTAATTAGACTGCAAGGAAAATAACTGTTTCTCTAGCACATACTTTTAAGTAGTTACTTTTTGTTAATGCATCAATGCATATTTTTACTAGTTGAATATTAACTAGTTAAACTAAAATTAAAAACAGTTTGACCTTCGGCATTATGCCAAATAAACATTATTAGACATTATTCTGAAAATAACTAGCCTACATTTTTTTTTTCTTGCAACAACTACATTCATTTCCTGAATTTTCTTTAACTGTAAAATATACCAGTCAAATTTCTTATCTTTTTCTAAACCTTGGTCCTAGAAGGCTAGAATCACAGTCTTATGAAGTGATTGCACCATTTGGAGACTGTCATCAGCATCAACAGCCCCTGATCACTGGATTATGGGTCTCCTCCAAATATAATGAATGAATTTATTATAAACACCAAACTGCGCAGGTGGGTTGGAGATCAGTCTAAAAGATTTAGATCTCACATCTATCAGAGGGCATTGGTGCCTGTTCTCTGTAGAATGTGTAGTTGGACCATTGATTCTTACAACACTTGTAAGTAAAGTAGAATTAATGAACAAATGTTGGTTGTTGTTATTTTATATTCTGCCATCACATGGAGCCATTTGAAATCCGAAACTAGGTAATGATAAAATATTCAAGACTAGTTCGATCGTCGATCGATGAGACAAATTGTTGTTTAACGAAATACGCGACTCCAAAGGAAAGGCTGTTTCACAAGGTCAGACTGGGTCCCAAGTGACATCGGCCCGGGGTCCCGCGACCGATTAGATAGCTTTCTTAATTCGATTTAAGTACAAGCTTGATTATAAGCCTTACTACCACTGGCGTAACTATACCATTCGAGACCCGTTGCAAATTCATCGGATGGACCCCTTTTGCCTATTAAAACCGAGAAGTTCAGGTTCACCCCTTTTGGATCCCCAACCATGCAATTTGCCGACTTGCCATGCTGTAGTTACGCCACTACATAAAAGGGGTTTGCTAAAACCGTGTTAAAGATCGTAGTCTAGGTTAGGTAAATAAAGAGCGCTGCTGCACAGTCACTTGAAGTGCGGTGGTTTTGTTCTCATCACCACAGATTAAACCTTCCATTTCCTAGAGTAATTCTCCTCACTATATCGGTAACCACATCCCTCACAAAGATCAACGTCTACGTCATTGGTTTCATCACCGCTCTAAAGTACGATTCTCAAATTGAAATTACCACAAAAAACAGTTGCAATTTTTTTAAACACTTCCTTATTCTATTTTTGTGATATACTAGCAACACTATCTATTGGCAGAGTTTCAAGCCATGAAGTATTTATTGGACCATCTTCTTGACATATGTTTTATGATAGTGGAATGATGGGAGCACTCACCCTTGTTACGTCTCTGGTGATCTAATCGAGATCATTAGCCTTGAACGCAATGTTCCGTAAAAATTTTGACTGTAATTTTACGCCTAGCATAGACCATAGACGTTACATGACGTAATTTCTTTTTTTCTTTTTTATTTAGTAGGGGGTTTTTTTATCGATATAATTTCCTAAGACATTGTTTAGCAGACTCGCTATTTCTTCTTTCAAGACTTACCAAAAATACAGCCATTTGCCTGCACCTGCAACTACCTACTACTTATAATATCATGATAGTTAAAATCCTGTTTTACTCCCCGAAAAGTAAGCTTTCCCATAGCGGAAAAATATTAACTATCAGTGCAATAATTTAATTCATTCTAAAAAAAGCAATAAAAATATTCCAAAGAAACAACAACTCTATAGTAAAATGCCACACAACTTGCAAACAGAATTTTGCTAGCAACTGTCATTAATATTCTCGCTGCAAAAATCGATGTAATACCTACGTATTTTTATCCAACTTCGATTTTATTAGAATAACAACGAATAGGATTCCAACTCGCATGCAGTCGTTATGTAAGAATGTTGTGAATGAGTTTCTATACCCGATATTTTTGTCTATCGCTATCCGCACTGTCCTTTGAATCTATAGAAGCCATACAATTCAACTTACAATCCATCAGAATGCTCTATTGCTCAGTATCATAACTAGCGTGATTCTAAACCTGCCTACTTAAACTAAAAAGTACTTACGTCCTGTAGGTAATTAGTCTTTTAACCAAGTAATTTAACAAATTATACCTAGATTTGTCATTAGTTATATTCAGAGATTTATGCGTGAAAACAGATAAAAAATTCTCTTCAGTTTTTTTTTGTGACAAGCCCGCCACTACCTCCCAAAACCGCTGCAACTCCTGTAAGCCAGGATCTACAGTAGATACAACCATGAAAACACCGGAACGCTGAAGTCCGGCGCGTCCAAGGGACATGAATAACTGTCTTGGTTCCCGCAACGAAGTGAATCAGAAGATATTATAAGAGGAGAAGAAAAAAAACGATAGTTTCCACTTCCTTCGGTGAATTACTGCAGGAGACAGAGTGAATTAAGCCTAAAGGCACAAAGAAAAGAGACTGTACAACTGGGTGAAGCCCAGTCGCCAAGCACCATGGAAATTTGACTAAAATCTAATTGGGTCCTATGTGTGAGCTGTTATACTGGCTTCCAGTAATAGGTATGGCAAAAGCGCCTAAACGCACGGAAATTTGTTCTAGATTACACAAGGTCCGTATAATAAGCTGCATCTAACGAAAAAAGGTCTCTTCAGTTTGTTCAGGACAAGTTCTGTGTGTCAACAAACTTTTGAACTTTGTTGTATCTGTGGAAACCCCCGCCAATATTCATGTCGGTACAAATCTGGTTTCTGACTAATGTGAAACATTTATTGTGTGCATTGGTTTGACTTTTGCAAACAATCATTAAAATTGTTGGCAAAAGTCTAAATTTTTATGACTATTTGTTGTTAAAAATCACTCAACCGCTCAACCGAGTTTTCCTCATAGTAATAGTCTATTTAAAAGCTCGTGTGATTGTTATATTTGTTATAGAATAACCTAAAATCATTTTTATGGCATAATTATGGCCATAGATTACGTTTTTTACCGATGATACACATTCAGAATGGTAACGAGCCAGTTAATCAGAGTACTTCAAATTCTTTTGGATTTTGCAATGATTCAAGGCTTGTAAAATACAATTTTTAACAAATAATTTCATGCCCGGGAGTCACCGTCACCATGACTCATGTCATCAGATATTCATCGTAAGGAAATACCCATTTTATTGGCAATTAAATTCAAACATATTTTATGGTATATCGACAAATTTGATAAAATTATTCGTTCATTATTTTATTTAACTGGTCTAATCGTGAAGCACGAGTATTTTTTTAATAAAACTTGACTACAGTTATTCCCCGAAGGATATCCTTTTATGATACAATGGCATATAAAATTATTAAATTAATTACTATCAGTGGCGAATTTTAACGCTATCCTCAGTTATTCCCCCCTTCTCTTCAAGCTTGTGTCGGAACTCGGAAGGGACTCCACATTTTGACACCCCGGGCAACAGCACTATCTGGTGTCTCTGAGAAACCTGATTCTTTAAAACTCCCAAACAGAAATCCCAAAGATGAGAGGTCCCAAACGTGGAGTTTATGGCAAACCCTCTTATGTACAGGAGATAGGTACATAGTCCAGCAGTTTAACGGTTTTTCAAAGGAAGTAATTTACCCTTTGAAAGACTACAGAAAATTTAACTGTCTCTCGATATTAACTATGACGAATATGTCCTTCCGCGGACACAAGTTTCATAAGAACAATACACTATTCCGCTCACAATCAGCTGGGTAAAGCAATAACTATATCTAAGTTATGTGGAATTCACACTAGGTCATATAATAAAACTGAAGATGTTTTTTGGTCAAAATCGTATTACGTCTTATTGTGTTTAGATTTTTATTTTACGTTGCAACATGCTCCTTTATACAATGCTTTATTTTAAAAAATTAACATCGTAACCGCAAAATTTTACGACCAATAAATAGGTAGATAGTTAGTTCCAATAAAAACATTGTGTTAAATAATGCAGGAACATGAATTTCCATTCATAAACTCTACGTAATGTGTAATCAAACAATATTTGCAGAAATAAGTTCACTTGTTTCACTATGCGTGTATAATAAGAATAAATTCTTACGATGATGCGGCTTGTTCCACGGATAGATAACGTCATTAAAAATAAATATAAAAACATGGCTGATGTTATCATGATCAAGGTGAATGAGACAAAGGCGTAATGTGTTTCCTCGAAATTACTCAGAAATGTATTGTTAAACAAAGTTCATCTTTTGAATCCGCATTAGGTACTTAGTCCAATGGCTGTAAAGGCCGTAGCTTTATAGCTTACGATAACCAAGGAGATTCTATCCATAGGTATACCAAAGTTTTAGATTTGTCCAGAGTGTTAGGTTTGATTGAACGATGTTAAAGAAAACATAAAAAAACCTGGTATTTAGGCAAAGGGCTCACTTTGATTACAATGAGACGAAAC